GATCTGGGGGTGGCTTCTATCAGGTACGGCACGCAACCTCCTCCAGTGCTGCCCCTAGAGTGAGAGTGGATGAGAGGAATGGTGCCTGGCGGCCCCTCGGGCCTGGCTCCTCAGGGACGACCTTCCCGGGGACTCACCTCTGAACGAGGCTGCTCTCCCGCCGTCGGTTGCAGAAGCAGGGAGGCAGTGAACCAGATGGACGCTTTTAACAGCTTTTTAATGTCCTGGAGCTCCCTGAGCTTGGAGAGCAGAGGCATGTCAGGGGAGGCAGAGGAGGCTTCAAGGTCAGCCTGCCTTAGCCTGACCTTGCAGACCTGTCCCCTCCCCCGCGACAGCGCAGCCAGTGCTAGGAGCCCCAAGCCCAGGGGCTGCCGTAACGGGGACCCCGGGAGTTTCTCATTTGTCAAAGAGGCCCTGGGGACCTGAGATGAGGAGGCGCTAAGTGGATTAAGGAGGCAGCGGCCGGGAGGCAGAGACCCCCTCCTCCAAGAGCTTGTGTTGGTTTCCGCGTCCTCTTCAAAGGCTGAAAAGCATCCCACAAGCAGCAGAGGCTGCGAAGATAAACGGCTGCCCCTTCGTCTCCTTCCCTTCTCGCAGCCTCCTCAGTTGGACAGCGCTGATTGCTTTGTCCTGCAGATTAATAAATATCAGGGTCAGCTCCGGAGAGATGGCTCAGTTATCCGCTGCCCTCACAGAGAGCTCGTGCTAGCCTGGCAGCAGGGGGCCGGTGGGCCTTGTCAAGTGCGGCTGCCCGGCAGGCCGCCCCACCCTCTCCCCAAACCCCACCTCCACATTCCCTAGGGGGGGGCAAGAACCCTCCGGGGGGGCTTAGCCCCTTCACAGGCCCTCTGGGCTCCCTGTGACCCCGCAGCACACCTGTCCAGGCTAGAGGGGCCTCAGCCTCGTCCCAGCTCCTGCTTTGAGCAGGTCAGGGGCTGACGGCCTCAAAACCCTCATGTGTTGAGCAGTTTACACACAGCACTTCCACGCTCATTATCCTCTGCCGGAGGGGGGTGGGAGGGGTGGGGGGGATTGTCAGAAGTCCGTCTTACAGACAGGAGACAGAGGCGTGGGAAGCTGGGCTGGCTTGCCTAGAGTTGCTCAGCCAGTGGGCCTGGGAGAAGGGGGCCAGAATTCAAACCCCAGGGCTCGTTCCCAGACCCGAGCACAGAGGAGCCTGCTTGGGGGGAGCCCTGTCGTCCCCGCAGTGGTAGGTCAGGTCCTCGGGGACTGCCCGGGCTCCCCGCGGCCCTGGGGAGAGCAAGAGCAGCCGCAGTCCCCTCGCACGCACCCTCCCTCTACCCGGAGCCGGGCTGTGGCCAGGGCACAGCAGGGAAGGAGGGCCGGGCCCCTGCCAGAGAGAAGTCATGGGAAAGTCAAGGCCCAGGCATTCGCGGGCGTCTGCCCCACCCCAGCAAAGCCCAAAGGGATGGGAGGATACCAAGCCCCAGGACAGCTCTCTGAGCTGGGGCCAGGCTGCCTCATTCCGGTCCTGTGTCTGCCCCAGTTTCCCTGTTTGTGAGTTAGGAGGTGAGGAGTCTCAGTGCGAAGATCCCTCTGGCTTGTCCCCTGGGGATCTGGCGGCCCATTCACTCTAAACCAGCCCGGGTCGAGGCAGTGGCTGGAGAAGCCAGAGCTGAGCCCACAGCCCACAGTGTGGGAATCCGGGGATGAGGGTCTTGGCAGCTGCGAGCTGTCAGCAGAACCCAGTTTCCCACAGATGCAGCCCAGCCCCCAGAGCAGGCCCCACACTTCCCACTGCAGCCCTTCCAGGGGAAACCACAAAGCAAGCAGAAGCCAGGCGGAAAATAAACAGAAAGCAATGTCCACAGAACCCCGAGGCTCTGGGCCCGGCCCGAGGCAGCCTGGCGGACTGCAGCTATGACCAGAGTGGATTCCTGCTCAGCCTGTCCGGACTGGCCTGGGGCCCTGGGGCTGAGCCGGCTCCTTGCTCCTCTGCCCAGACTGGAGAAAATTGCTGTCTTCTGCTGATGCCAAGGGTCATGGGAGACAGGCTGCGTCCCAGGAGGCCGAGCCCTGGCCTCAGCCTGCTGCTGCCTCCCCAGGCCTTGCTGTCACCATCTTGACAATGGGCATGGCACACCTGCTGCTTTCTCAGGTCCTTCCCAAGTGCTGAGAGTCTGATTCTAGAACATGGCACTAGGTGGTCAGCTGAAGAAGGGGACAAAGAGGGCCCCCCCCAGCAACACTATCAGGGGGGCCTTGTGAAGGCACTTACGCCAAGCTGCCCCCTCCACATACGGTTTTATAAATGAGGAGACCCAGGCCTTTCCCAGGTCAGCCGCTCAGAGACAGGGAGCTGGGCTCCAAGTCCCGGCTCCAAAGCTCTGAGCCCAGGGCCCTTGAGGAAGCCCAGGCCGGCCTTGGCAGCTGCGGGCCCAGCTGAGGGATGGTGGGGGCAGTGTGCTGCGGCCACTCTGCCCCTGCCCTCTCCTCCTCCTCCGCACAGTCTCTGGCTTGGGGCCTTTCTCAGGTGGAGGAGGAAGTAAAGGGGGACAGGGAGTCAGCTGACTGGCAGGACTATCCTCTGGGGACAGGGGCTGAGCAGACGGTGTGGAGGAAGGTGGCCTTCCACGCAGAGGCAGAGCCCCAGTCCTGGTCCTGGCTTCAGCACTCCCGCACCATCGACGCTGCCCTGGTCAGCCCAGAGCCTCCAAGGGGCACACCAAGAACGGCCTTCTGAGCTCACAGTCCCAGCATGTGTCCCTTAAGGGTACAGCACCCATGGCATTCTTGCTTCTTGGCCATCCTGTCTCAGAGGACACTCATTCCCACTTGACCATGGGGAAAACCAGACTTGCCCATTTCACAGAGCTAGTAAGTGAAATCCTTCAGGGAGTGCCTGCATCGGCACCCAGCCAGACCCAGCAGGCACAGCTGGCCCCGAGAGTGACTCTGGTGGCACCAGGGCTGGCACAGAGCCTCTAGCTCTTGTGTGCTTCCCAGTTTCCTGCGAGGGCTTCACACAAGCTGGCAGATCGATCTGCTGCTGCCATCAGCACATTCTTCCTTCCCTTCTCCAGCCCCCTCATGACGCCCTCTGCTCAAAGGGCTTGTTTCCCACTGAACACCAAGTTCTCCCGCCCGCAAAGGGGCAGAGCGGGCTCCCTGCCGTGTCCGCTGTGCTAAAGCCTGCATTCCGAGGAGACAGGTGAAGGGCTGTCCCCACCTGGGACCCACCTTCCACCCATGACTCAGAGTCCCGCTGGCTGGTCTCCAAGGCTCTTGTCCCTTCTGCCTGAGGTCTCTCTCGGCACAGGGCTTTTGGACATGCATCCATGAGAATGGTCAAGGACTAACCGTACCCTACACAGACCCAGACCCCCCCATGCCAGGTGGCTCTCTTGAGGGGCTGTTAAGGGCATCCCACTTCTCCTGTAGCAAACGATCCTCATGCAAGAAGACTCCTGTCAGTGGTCTGGATGGCCTATGGCACATGCCCAGACCTCTTAGAATTCCCCTTTGGGCTCTAACTGAGACCTGCCCTACCCACCATCCCTGTCCCCAAAGGCTTTTGGGAAGGTTCTCAGCCCAGCCTCCCCTATAATAGGACCCGCTTCTGGGGTTGGGAGGCAGGAGGGAGGAGCTCTGCAGGGTGTAGATGGACGGTGAGCCTGCCGCTCGCCAGGCCGGCCTGGCGCAACCAGTGTCTGAGCCCTGGACCAGTGGCCCTGTTCTAGTCTCAGCTCTATATTGACTTGCTGTGTGACAGTGGGCAAGGTACCTGCTCTCTCTGAGCTTCAGGTTCCTGCCTGGGAAATGGGGGTGTAGACAGGTCCTCCTCTGGCTTTAGAATCTCTGCCAGACGCTGCCATCCCTCCTCCCTGGGCTCGGATCTCTCCGAGGGCATCTCTTCCTGCCCACCTCACTCCCCACCAGCCCCAGGGCACTATCTCTTGGGAACCTCACGGGACACAAACCCTTGACCCACAGACCTGCCTTCCCAGGGAGGCTGCGGGCAGCAGCTCCTGTTTCTAGCTTCAGTCCCTGCTGCCCATGAATCAGGGCCTGTAGCAGTCCCCACGGCCCTTGGACACGTGGAAGCATGGCCGCACGGCCACAGAACTCAGAGCGGAGGGCCTTTCTCCCTGCTGGGCAGACTTAAGTCTTAATCTCCCTGCACAAAGCCCACCCAATCCTTTCTGAGGGGAAGGTAGTAGGACACAAATTGGCTTATTCCTCTGATCCGGAGAGAGGCTTGCCAGCACACAGTCCTCTTTCTCCCCATTTCCCTCAATCCCAAGACCTCCAGGGACCCTTGTAGATTCAAAGATATGGAGGCTCCCCATGGCCCCCCTCCTTCCAGGAAAGCTGTTGTGGGTGGACAGGTCTGGGACCCCAAGTTCCTAAACGAACCTGATGGCTCAGCCAGCGATGGGGGTGTCTAAGATGAACCACTAAGGAGCACACAGTGAGAGCGGGCTGGGAAGTATCCCCTACCCAGAAAATGGTGAAATGGGGGCATTTCTCTGCATTCCCTTCACCCACTTTCCATAGCCCTAGCCAGGGGCCTTCCTAGCTGGAAGAAAAACATTTAATAAACTCCCTTCTAGTAACCTGATATATATACAGAAAGAGAGGCTGAGAGAATAGTAAAGCAAATGTGGTAAAATGTTAATTGTTGGAGAATTTGGGTGAAGGATAAATGGGAGTTTTTGTGCTGGTCTTGCATCTTTTCTGTTGTTTACAATCATTGCAAAATCAAGATTTAACTAACCATGCTTGTATTGTTATTTACTTATTTATTTATTGATATAAAATTTGCATGCATCCTTAAATGTACGGATCTATATACAGATTTTGACAATTGTTCACATACCTAGCACCCAGATCAAGGCGTAGAACACTTCTGTCATATCGGTCCAGAAAGTTCTCTCATGCTGCTTTTCCGTAGCCCTTCCTTCCACCCTGAGGCAACTATCGTTCTGATTTCTATCACCAAGATTAGTTGTGCCTGTTTGGGATTTTCACATAGGCCAAGTGTGTGATCTTACGCCTGGCCGCTTTCACTCAGCTGACTTACTCTGAGATCCACCCACGTAGCTGAAGGTGTGCGTACTTCGTCCTTTTTTACGGTGAGTAGCACCTTCCATCGTACCAATGTGCCAGAGTTTACCCAGTCACCTACTGATGGATATTGGGATTGTTTCTAGTTTCTGGTTATTGTGAAGAAACCTGCTATGGATAATACCCCAAGATATTTCAGTACGTATTTCCTAACAACAAGAATATTTTCTTGTCTCTGTTACCAAAATTGGAATATTAACTTGATAAAATATTATCTAATCTATAGACCCTTCTTAATCAAATTTTGCCAGTTGTCCCAATAATATCCTTTATTGTAAAACTTTTTTGGGGGGCTTAAGATTTTATCCAGGGTCATGAGTAGGATTTAGCTGTCATGTCTTTTTAGTCTTATTTAATTTGCAGTAGTTCCCTGGCCTTTCCTTATCTTTCACAAAGTTGACATTTTTGAAAAGTACAGACTGGTTGTTTTAACGAACATTCTTCAGTTTGGGTTTGTCTGGTGTTTCCTCACGATTAGATTCCAGTAATTAATTTTTGGCAGGATTGTCACAGAAGTGACACTGTGTCCTTCTTGGTGCACATCTCAGAAGGTACATTATGTCTATTTCTCCTACTATTAGGGAGACTGACTTGAATTACTGGTTTGGGTGGGGTCTACCACTGTAAATTCCTAAATTTTCCATTTGTATTAATTAATGTTTTGTGAAAGTCACCTGAGGACTGTATAAATGTCCTATTCTTCATCAAATTTTCACCCACTAAGTTTAACATTCATTGATGATTCTTGCCTTAATCATTATTACTGTGTTAGTGGCCAAATGTAGTTTTTAAACCCCATAATTCCTTCATGTATTAATTTGAATTCTATTACATGGAAGAGCTTTTTCCTTCCCCCATGTATATATAAATCTATATTTATTTATACAGATGTGTTATATCTGTATGGACTCATGGATTTTTATTTTACTCAATGGGTTATAATACATTTCAATTAGTATTTATGGTGGTGCTTCAATTGTCCCAGATTTGGCCAATGTGAGCCCTTGAAAGCCGAGAGCTGGCCCCTGCACCCTTTTGACATTTTTCCTTCATTCTTTGAGCATTTGTTTACTTTCAGACTCATCATGTACTAGCCCTGGAATCAGCCAGTTTCAGCAAGCAGCCCTTGTTTATTTTAGCAGAAAATGACATGGAAGGCAGAATAACCATATCTATATTAATATTTATTTACAAACTCAGGAGCTGCTACTTTACTTCGAATTGCTGCCCTGGACCTGAAGGTACCTGTTTACCCTGTTGCCATACTTGTGATTCACTTCATCAATAGTGAGAAACCTGGATCCATGATTTTCATCATATTTGTTCGTTTGCTCAAACCCAGAACAGAAAGTGGTTTCAGAGTTGCTAACCCATTCCACTGCGAAATGCAAGCCTGCTAACCAGTCCGATGTTTTTGCTGCCCTTTTTTATCCTTCATCTGGGTGTGTTTATAATCAAAGTACTGTGTTCAAAACTTCCTTACTTTTTGCTTTTTACCCCTTTCAGTGCATTATTATTATTCACTTGAAATAGTTAGGTTTGTATGTTTCTGTTTGTATTCTATTTTGGGGATTTCCCCCATCCTTTATTATTATTGTCATTATTTGAGTATGTAACGCATTGGCATGGTTCCAAAGGTATAGAACGTTTCCAATAGTATACAAAAAAAGTTATACTCAGAGAAATACTAACACCATTTCCACCCCATTCCCATCTGACATCTGTGGGTAACTGATCCCATTAGTTTATCTTCCTGTGTTTCTTTCATAAACTTCACATAAGTTATCTCCTTCCCTTTCTTTCTTAAAAAGTAGCATGTTAGACATATATTTTTGCACTTTGATTTTTACACTTAGGTACTAGAATGTTCACAGTAGCTCTACCCATAAAGCCAAAAACCTGGAAATACCCAAATGTGCATCAACACCTCTGCTTCTGCCCTGGATCATTTTCCTCCTTCAATAGCATCTTAAGGCTTCCTCCACCAGGAAGCTTTCCCTGATCACCTCCATCTTTATTCTATGTCACTGAAGCAGGGTCTAAACGAGAAAGAACAATGGATGGGTCAAGAAAGGCAGCCATTTGTATTTGGCTTGCTCCACTGGCATGCAATCCTTGGCTGGTTCCAGAGGGAAGTGGTGTGGGCATGACCTGCAGCCTCTTTGGGGCACTTTGCAAACTGTTGTCATGGTGCTATTTTGTGGAGTGCCAGAGGAGATCATCTGAGCAGTTTAGCAGACAGGAGATAGACAAACTACCTTTGTGTACTTGGACTGGCTAAAGAAACTTACAAACCACTGCCACATGCCAATGAGGATAGCACAGCATCCCCCAAAAAGGACACTCGAGCCCCCTGAGAGAGCCCATGAAGGAGTGGATCCCTGTCTTCCCATCCCTCAGCTCACCTGTACTGTGCTGGGCTGGGCAAACCTTGGATTTAGGAGCCCAGCCCTCGTTCCCTGCAAGGAGATGGCGAGTCGCGGCACTGGGCAGGTGCTGGGCAGGCTCTGCTGTGAGTGTCCTCGAGATGGCTTGGGCACGGACCCTGCACTCAGGGTGCCCAGAGCTGTGGGGAAGCTAAAACAGACACACACACAACTGGTAAAATGTGTTCTGTGAGGACCCCAGAGGCCCTCTAACTAGAAGGCTGCTGGGTAAGGGGGATAAGCTAAGGGCGAGGGAAGGTGTCCCAGGGCGAGGTCACAGCCCAGAGCTGGAGGCGAATCCTGGCAGGAGTGAGGAAGGCAGACTGGATCACCAAGGGCCCAGAAGCCGGGCTGGCAGGGTGGGATCTTATCCGGTGGCTAATGGCCAGGAGCCCCTGGTGCTTTTGAGAGGGGTTGAGATGGGGGTGACATAAAGAGAGCTGCTCACAGAGGCTTACCCGTGCAAGCCCTCAGCCCACAGGGTCTCCCCAACTGGCTTCTGCCACTTGAACTCCCTTAGGGACCCAAAGAGGTCCTGCGAAAGGACCAAACTGTGGATACCGGTTCAAACCTTGCTGGGATTAGCTGCTCAGCCCACGACCCTTAGAAAGCTGTGATTCTAGAGGCCAGGGCCAAACTGTGTGTCTGTGAGGGTGGGAACAGGGATGGAGGTGAAGGGAATATTTGTTAAACTTCTCCCGGTGCAGACATTATGCTAAGTGTTCCACATTCAAAATATTACTCATCACTTGCAATAACCCTATTAGAAAGGTATCAGCCCCATTTTACAGATGAAGAAACTGAGGCTTGGGCAGGCAAGATCATTCACATACCAGGCGAGTCGGTCCACAACGCCTGACCCTATTATGATGACTCAGGCAGTGTGTGTGTCGCGTCTCCAGGAGGCCAGTGACGCGGGAGAGTGGTCTGGGCCTAGTGCCCACTCGGTCCGTGAGGTGCCGCCCTGACGCTCCGGCCTCCAAAGGAAGCACTGGTGCGTGAGGCTGCTGCCCCCCGAAGCCTCCCTGGATGGCTCAGCCCCCCCTTAATGGTGCTCGTGTTCCTCAGCACCATCCCTCTCTCCTCTCACCCCCCTTTCCCCTTCTCAGTCTTACCCACAACTCCAACCCCACAGACCAGCCGCATGATTTTTCTCACACTTCTGGCTCAGGTTTCTGAGATGGTGGCCCAGGTTCATGTGGGTGTTTTCTGTTCGGCTTGCAGTGTGTTTTAAAGAGTTTGAACTAGTTGCTTAGCATTTGAAAATCAGCAGATTTCTATGAATGAGTTCACTTTGTGATAATATTTCAAGCTGTATGATTAGAATTTATGCACTTCTCTGTATGTATACTTCAGCTAAAAAGTATTTTTTTTTAATCTTCAGAAGTCGTATGAAAGTCTTGATTTTCACCTTCCTTTCAATACTTGGAAGGCCTGCACTGCTGGACATGGATTCTAAATGTGCTTCGGCTGATCCCCTGCCTCCCGCAGGCGCAGGTGCCCCCCATGTCGCTGCAGCCTCTGCCTCTCTGTATTAACTCACTGCCACTTCCATCCTTTGTGGAGTTTACCCGCCCCGAGGATAAGCATTTGCCTGCCAGGTCTCCGTGTTCACCAAGCTCTTCCTCCCCACTTTCTCCCGGGGACCCTTCCACGGGTGTCTTGCACTCAGCACGTCATGTTTGAGCCCATGTCCTCCCCTTCCAGTATTCCCGGTTCCAGGAGGTGCATTACCACCACCGCCCCTCCTTGGGCCCCAGTCACCAAGGCAAAGGCCTGGGTATCTATGTGTCTCCCCCTTGTCCTACTTACAATTCATCACCAGCCCTGACACTTCTGTAAACCTGCCCCTTCTCTCCATCCCACAGTCCATCCTGAGCTAAGCCACCATCTTCCCTGGCTTGGACCACAGCAGCCTCGTGAGTGGGTCTTCCTGCTTGTACTTCCTTCCCTCCAAACTGCTGGGCACTCTGCAGCCAGGAAGGTCTTTAAAATGCAATGTGATGGTGTCATTTCCTGCTTAGACCTCTTTGATGGCTTCTTACTGCTCTTAGCGAAAAATGTAAACTCCTTACAAGGCAAGAAAATCAAACTCCCCAAGGGCCTGCTACCAGGGCAGCCTCCTGCCCAGCCTCTTCCCACACCCTCCCCTATTTTCTCTTCTTACCACATATACTCAGC